CAATAGCTAACAAATAACATTTTTGTCATTATTTCTATTTAACTTTTTTTATTTCCAAAATTATTTTTACCTGCTTAGACATTGAATCACTGATCAGCAATAAAATGCCTAATTTGAATATTTTTTCTTTTTTTTTTAGTCAAAAGGTATCCATGTTACAGATTTTAAATTGCTTATTGATCTATTGCATTTTGTCCTAAAACAATACTATTTCATTTTTATTGAGACATTTTACTACCAGCTTAGGGACGCTTTATCCATCAACTTTCTGGGTTGGTGGTAGAATATCTTTGCATTTTCAGGACAAATGGCATGTTATACCTTCAATGTCCAGTTATGGGCATGTTTTTTTTCAATTTTATGTAAGATTCTTATGGAATTGTTTTTGTGACAATTCTGAAGGTAATTACAACATTGGTATGTTCTTTAGGAGTAAGCTTCACCAACAGGCTGTCAAATTTGTACCCGCTGTAGAAAGATCATTATAGAGCTTATGCGAGTTTCTGCATATTTCTAAAAAAAAATGTAGCTGAAGATAAAAGTAAAACTAGAGCTGTTGGAACATGATTATCTCAACTAGAGATAAACCAACTGATTCATACATTTCTAGATGTTGTGAGCCCATCCTTCACTGGGAAGCAATGATTTGCTTTACTGGCAAATCCAATTTGCTGAAGTGAACCAGTAATGTGAAAAAAAATGCAGGCTCCTCATGCCTTGGGTGACCAACAGCCATGGAATGGGAGTCAATAAAGATCTCAGTTTAAAGGTAGCTTGAGCTTATGGTAACCTAATAAGAAAGTAGCTTTCACAAAAGCTGACTACTGAACATTTAAATTAATTGTGTTTGGTCAATTTATTTTTTTACTGTACGCATTTTTAAACTGATATTTTATATCTTCTTTTACTATGTATATAAAATCTTTATTTTGCAAATAAATGTCTAATATAGGGTACGGAGCAAAACAGTTTAGAGAGAGTGAGTGGAAAGGAATGAGCCATTGCTCTAATCAGCTATGTAAAAAACTTTAGCTATTCAGTTCTGAAAGCAACAAGCTTTTCTCAGCAAATCAGTTTAAGATTGAACATGTGAACATACTCACTCCTACCTGCTGGCTGGTATGCAAATTCATATTTTCCTGGCTAAATAAAAATTACTTTTTTTAGCCCTAAAGATAAAAAAAATGAAGAAAATATATACAAAAATACTACATCTTTTCTTTACGTTTTTAAGTGGTCAAATGTTAATCGATTTTTTGCTACAATGGAACAGCTGAAAATTTTTAGTAAACTCATATCTCATGGTAAGTGACACTTACAACATATCTGCATGCCAAACAAAAATAAAAAAACTATTATCCACAGGACAAAATAAACTGTGCACAACCGATGTAAAGTCCACAAATGAAATGCACATGACTTTGGCTCAGAGAAGTTGTAGGTCCTAAGGACATTTGCCACTAAAGCATATACTGGTAAATTCTCATCATGAATAGTATAATTCTGAAACCTTAATGTGGTTGTAAAGGCTCAAGGTTTTTTACCTTCATGCATTTTATGCATGTAGGTAAAAAACCTTTTCTGTGCAGCATCCCCCCCAGCCCCCCTGAATACTCACCTAAGCCCCCTCTCAATGTGCACTGGAGTCTTGGCTATCCTGGGACTCCCTCTCCTCATTGGCTAAGACAGCAGTGGGAGCCAGCCAATCACATCCAGTGAGCCAATGAGAAGAGAGAGGGGGCAGGGCCAAGCCGTGGCTCCATGTGTGAATGGGCAAAGGGAGCAGGGGCCACTCCACCAAAAAAAACACAAAATAACCAAATATCTTACTATATACTCTATTATTTCCCTATGCATCTCCCCCTTAACTTACTAGTATTCCTTTCTATAGATTCCCCTTGCTATCATGCCATCATGTGAACCACAACTGTCAGAAAATATGTTTGGGATACAAAGAAAAACCCCCAGGTAACCTCAGGGGAAATATAGGCTGCTCTGGAAAAAGATGGCATGGTTGTTTCAAGGAGCACAATACAGCAATACTGGAACAAAAGTGAGCTGCATGGTTGAGTTGCCAGAAAGGAGCTTTTACTGAGCCAATGCCACAAAAAAGCCTGGTGAGGTGTGTCAAGATGTTGTCAGGCATATTGTAATTGGGCTTTTTTGTGGCACTTATCTCAATTAGGAGCACTAAGTGTCATTTCTGTCTTCTGCCTCATTCCTTTTCTATCTGCATGAGGCACATCTGACAGGTTTTCCTGACACCAAGAGAAAAATGGTGATGGGGAGGGACCTCTAGCAGATTGACAGTCTAAACTTTGTTCCTGTGTGCTGTTTGAAGAGGGGTGTGTCCCTTCCCTCCAATCAGCTCTCAGAGCTTTCCTTGCTAATCTCTGCAGAGTGTAACTTCAGCTCTCGACTCCCTTTTTTCTGAACTCTCAGACAAGCTTTATAAATTCAGCACTTTGAGAAGAGAAGACTGCAGCTATATAGGTACAATATATGTAGGAGAATTTGTTTAATCTCTTTGTATCACCTGAGGCTAGTCACTGTACTTGGTTTATGTAAGAGTTTACAACCACTTTAATGCAATATAATTGTATCTAGACTTACAGAGCTCATGTTGCATGCCTGTGTTTACTCAACAAAAAATCTTTTGGTAACAGAAAAAAGCCTGCCGCCTGTTTTCAGACAAACTGTATATTTTGCATAACTCAATCCTTCCTTGCAAAATAGTTTTTATATTCTGAAATAAACTGTGCAGATTGGACACTAAACCCCAACTGAGATGACTGAGGCATTGACATTCCATGCAGCTTTATAAGAATCAAAAAGACATGTTATGTTTATCAGCCTTTAAAAATAATTAGCTGAGCAATTAGACGTACTAGCAGCTTTGCTAGTAGCTTCACAATGGGAGCTATCATTCACTTCGTTTTCTAATTGTATGGGTACGCTTTTATATTTCCCATTAAATGAATGAAGAGGAAGGCACAGTAAAGCTGTAAAAGCAATAAAAGAAGTTGGTCCCAAAATACACTTTATTACAAACCGTTTGTATGTTAATGTCCTATTCTCATCACAGGGTTCTGTTTCTTCTTACAGTATTTTTAACTACATCTATCTTACTTCTAGAACTGCAAAGAAAAACATCTGTGACTCATATTCAAGTTAAAGCTGAACTAAGGAAATCGTGCTCAGTTGAAATATATAAATGGAAGCCATTGTACTTGTCGAAGGATTTGTATTTCCGCCTATCCAGTTCTAAGATATAAATAGCGATGGCATACAGCAAAGACAGGATGGTGACCTGTGAGTGATGGTGATCTGTGAGTAGGTACCTATTTCTGGAAGGTACCCTCTCCTGCTTCTGCTTGGCTTGCTTAGGTGAGCAGAGCAGAAGTTCAGCCCCTGCCACCCTGCCACCTTGCCTGTAACCTTCGGGGACACATCACATGTCCCAGGAGGCTGCAGGTCTATCCACAAAGTGCAGTGGGCCTCACATATGTGATGTGGGAAGCTGGCTGTAAAGCCGCAGGAAGTCCAGAACCTGAATTAAAGAGTTTTTGAATATCTTATCCTGCTACTGTGCACTGTTTAAGAACACCCTATAAGACAATATTATTACAAAGCTTCTACATTTTGGTTACAGGGAAAATGCACTTATATATGTATTTTTGGGGTAAATGTCTGAGCCTAGCCTACAAATACAAAAAAAATATTTGGCACAAAACAGGCATATCTCCAAATCTGCTAAAAATCTCTGGTTGTTGGGTTGGCTTCAAACCTTTGTGCTGCAGTAAGAGTCCAATTGCAACAAATAGTACTGCAATTTTCTGCATACCAGGGTGTGTTTAGAGTCTATTCAAAATGAAGGGGCTGCCTTAATACAATGCCTGTTAACGTGCAACACAGCTTGGAGGTCAATCTCTGGAGATTCCAGAAGTACAGTAGTTAATCGGGTATAAAAACAGTGTTAGACCAAAAATCTCTGTGATAAAAAGACCATATAGTAATAATTAAAACTGAAATGGATTTTAAATTTTTGAAAATACAAACTCCGCTACTTGTGTACTTTTTATGGGGCTTGCCTTTCTATTTCATTTATAACATTGCTTACAATATTATGTAATCCAATGCTGATGAGAAAATTCCATGTCCATTTGCCTCTGCACAATTGGTGTGTGTCCTTAAGGTCCCGTGTAAGTTAACAAAGAAAATACTTTCCAGATTGGGTTTGCTCACACCATGGCAAGACTCGTAGCTCCATACTTGCTGATATATAGTCAGTAGCAAAATCTCTTTATTTCCATTTCTCATTTTAGGCTTCCTGTCAACAGGTTGTCAGATCTGAAATAAATGTTTGCAATCCAACAACATGTTTGATACAATTTCAGTAAAAAGCAGATAGCTTGTAATCAGAGTATGTAAACTGTTATTGTGGAAAATATACAGTATTTGGTCTTGGTACATCTAGTACGTAAGACATGAGGCTAGATTGACACCTTAAATCCAGAGATAAAAATTACTAAACATTTGCTTTATATGTAAATAAAAGTTCTGAAGACTCAACAAAAGTATGCATAGAGTTTACTATGATGAAACAATATTATTATTTATTTGTATATATTGATTATTTATCACTATATTAATTATTTGTATCAACACCATTGCAGCTCAGTACCTCTGTGTGGCTCACAATAGTAGGTGTACCATGAAATTTGCTTTTTACACCTAGTATAATGGGCCATTGAGGGGGAGTCCGAACAGGCAGTTTAGGCTGCGTTTGTTTCATTCCCTGTATGCTGAGCTGCAAGTTAAGATGGCCAGCAGCCATTTTAGTACACATTGCTGCAGATGCCAGTTTGTCGTGTCTGGCAGGAAGAACTGCCACCAAATGTGACCCATTCAAGTGCATTGAACAAAGCCGCAACCTCTCTGCAATGCACGAGGTTTGCAGCTCAGTTCTGGAAGCTTTTACAAGTTAAAATGTTACTAAACCCAGGACCCAGCATTCACTATATCTGGTCTCCCACAGTACACAGAACATGGAAATGCAATTATTTTAGTAAATATAAACTGCTAAATACCTTTTCTCATCAGTAGTATATACTGTAGCAGTCTTGTGACTTCTATTAGTGTCCTGCTGAGAACTGGTTAATCTTGTAGGAGGAGTTTTCATTCTGCTGTGACTGTCCTATGAGGTTATATAACTGCTAACCATCTGTCTGGACAGTGCTGATTGGCCCTGTGCTGATCACATGCACTCTCAAAAAGAAAAGAGAAACTCTCTAGCAATACACACCAAACTGGGCATGTGCAGAGTGTCTCCTAGAGCCCTGTACTATCTACAGATGGTTTGGGGACAATATAAGAAGGGGAGGATTGAAGAAGGCAGGATCAAACAGCCTTTTTACCCAATGAGGAGGATTAACCCCCTAAGTTCCACAATGAGTATAACAAGCATGCTTTACTGCATATACAGACTGATTTTACTGTTGTGGGTTTAGTAACACTTTAAAATAGACACTGGGTGCTCAAGAGTCGACTGATAAACTATGAGCTTGCCTGTCAATTGTGGATACCAAACACTGCTGCACATGTAAACAAGGTCCTAATTATTGTGAAACACAATTATGTTCCAGCAGCCCAGGTAAACTCCAAAATAAAACTGCTCTTTTTTTAAAATTTGAATTTAAAGGATCAGTTCACCTTTTTGACAAAAATAATAAGTGCACATTTTTTGCAGGTAAGAAAATGTGCATTTATTATTTTTGTCTACAGGAGCCTGGAAAGCATTGCACCAGAGATGCCATGCAGGTCTCCTGCAGACCTGTCAGAATATCTGCTTGCTGTATGGGATGTATGAGCAAGCAGATATTCTGATAGGAAGCTTCAATGAACTACCATGGCAGTCCAAGGCGCCATGGTAGTTCATCGAAAACTACAAGCCCACAGCCGCTAAGGCAGTTCATTCATTCAAGGAAGTCCATGTATGAATGATGAGGCCGTGTGGGCAGAGCCCCGCACTGCCACGCTGTTTTCAAATTTCACAGATAGTACGGAGAAACTTCTCCCCGTACTATCTGTCAGAAGGAGGGGAGGCGGTGGCCGGCAGCTGCGACTATGGGAATATGTTACATGTTCCACCCTAGAAATGGGTGGAACATATAATATGTTCCCAAAGGTGAACTTATGCTTTAAGGTATGCAACAAGACAATCTAGTATGACATGACAGTCTGTTCATAATGATAACCATCAACAGTAATATATTGACCGTGTACAAACAAGGGGTTAAAAGACAGCATTAAAGCAGTAAACCAAGTTCCATCACAGTAACATACAACGCCTTGAAGATTTATGGCCATGGCATCCACAGTAAATATATCCTGCATTGTAGTGAAAGTCATATAGCAGAACATGACTGAAATGTACACACCAAGAAGATGGCACAGACTAGTAGGCACATAACTACTATGAGGTGGTGGGTTAACCAGAAACCTCATATGGTGTAGGGCTACCATGCCCAGGCCATAGGCCAGTTGCACTGAACGGTCAGAGCATAGTGGATAGCACTTTCCTTGATTTTAGAGGAGGAAAAAAAAGTTGACCCACTGGGTGTCTAGGAAAAGGGGAGAGAGGGGAAGAAGAAAAAAAAGGAAAAGGGAAGGTGGGGAGCATCGATGGGGTCGATGGCTCAAGAAGTCATATTCCCATTGAGGAGTAATCTCAATTTAGGAAGAGGTCAAATATTCATCTGAGAAATAAAACATGTCCCAATATAGCTAACTTGAGTTATGTCCATCTGTTTTGCCCCTGAGGGCAGCGGGTCAGATGTTCCATCTGTTGAGTATCATTCACTAAAACTGCTCTTCAGACAACCGGCAAAACTGTCAGTTTGGCAGTCAAGGCTTGGTGACCGATCAATCTCTTCTAAAACCAGTTATATAAAAAAAAAGGAAAAGATAACACCATGATGCCATAGTCTATCCTGATTTCTAGTGAGAGGGATTTAGCTGCCCTGAATCTTTTATGCATACTGTAACCAGAGACAATTCAAGTGTCTGATGATGTCTTTTAGTCTGGCTTTTATCTTATCTTGTTCTGGTTATTGAGGAGGAAAGGGGAAGCAGCATGTAGCCTCACTGCCAATTTATCCTTGAGAAACCAAGAATGATAGAGTTCCTAACCTTCCTGTCTTCTTGTAGTCCAAGAGCTGCTGGGGATAATCTACTGACAAAGATCCAATTGCTTTTGACTAGATCAGAAGACTGTCATCCAATGTCTATTGCCACTGATTTGAATAAAAAAAACCTCTCTATTATTGTGTCTTTACGATACTTGGCATATTAGTATTGTAGCAAGTGTCCAGGTACTCACCATGCTCACATGCAGGCATATGAATAGAGAGGAAGTCTTTCAACGGGGATGCCTGTTCTGGGGCCTACTGGGAAATCTCCTTCAATATGTAGAGATTTACTCTCACTTCCTCTATTGTCTCCATAACAGGAAATGAAGTGAAATCTCATGGGACACAGACAGCAAAAAATAAACTGACAAGGTTTTCCTACTCTATTGAAAAAAAAAATACTTTTACGTACACTTTAACTGCTTTTTCAACAATTTCTTGGGTTCCTGAACATGCCCAGGGAAGGTAAGTTTATCCGCTTTCCTCCTTCAGCAGCTCAGAGAGGCCAAACCTGATGAGATAAATGGGCATGTGATCTGCAGCCAGGTGGGAGGGCCTCCACTGTCAGAGCTGGCATGCATACAGCCAGGAGCCTAATAGCACACAGCTTCAATAAAAGACCCAACTGTTGCAGGGAGCAGTTCCCCAATTACTACCAGAGTACTGCAGTTCCAGTGACATGGCACTTCCTCCTTGCACCTTGAATATCACCAACTGTGTTACTAGAGCTACCCTGAACTTCACTGTGAAGGATGTTGTTTATGAGGACAATCGCCGGTTGTTACAGAGCAGGGGTTCTCAACATGTGGCCCTTGGAGCCCTCTGATGTGGCCCTCAGCATCGAACCAGGGAAGCCCATGTTTGGGGTTGGAAACCCGTTGATCATGATCTGAGCTTGCCAAGAGGAGCTTGCACAGCACGCTCCCAGCACAAAGACTGGGGTGTCACGGAGAGCCCCGGGTCCTATTCTAACTATCGGGACCCGGGACTCCTGATTCCAGGTCACATGATCGCTGTGATAGCCTCTGATTGGCTATCACAGTGATCAGTCACTGTACAGCCCACCTCCCTTGTTTTTTTTTTCTATATGAATGGAGTAGAGAGATACACTGTATCTCTTTCTCTCTCCTTGCATAGAGGAGGGAAAAAACTGTTTGTTAAAAAAAAAAAAAGATAAATAAATATATATTAAAAAATAAAATAAAGATAAAATACCTAGATCACGGTTTGATCTAGTTCAGTGCCAGAGTTAGTGTTTGGGTCAGGGTCAAAGGTCAGGATTTTTTTTAAAAAAATGGTGTCAGTGTGTTTTAGGTAAACAAAAAACAAACTGCGCACTATTGTTTCTGGACTGTACTGTGGGTACAACCAAACAACAAATAACATACACATATATGGTATCGCTGCGATCGTCAAGAGCTTGACAATGTATTTCGGGTTGTTCTTTAGTGGTAGGTCAGGGTATTAACAATTGGTGGTAGGTTATGGTAGTAACAAAAAACACACAGCTAAATTTAAAAAAAAATTATTTATTTTTATTATTTTGGGCCAGTTTTCCTTTGATAATAATAAAAAAAAATCAGAAAATATCCATTACAATTTACCACCAAATGAAAGCCCAATTTATCCTGAAAAAAACAAGGTATAATCTACCTGGATGTACAAAGTAGTTGTGATGATATGTACAGTTTTACTAACACATGTCAAAGTTGCAAGATTGTACTTAGGCGTTAAGATTTGTTTTAGCCTTAGGCGTGAAGGGGTTAGAACACATCTGTCATGAGAAACGCATGGAGGTTATCCAACAAAAAAGCTCAGCAATAGCAGTCCTATGGTTCTGTCATGACAGGTATTCTTTAACATACAGTATCGTGTGTTTCTGTAAAAAAAAAAACAGCTAGCAAAAGTTTCAAATCTCACTTGTAACTCCACGTTTACAGGCCGGGAGAAGACAGAGCTTTACATTATGATGTGAAGGTCTGTCATCTCCCAGCCTGTAAACATGTGGCGGCTTTGACAGTTATTAATTGTCAGCAGATTCATTTCTGTGGGGAGAGGAGATTCCTGCATCACATGAAGCACTTCAGTGCAGACCTGTATTTTGTGGAGATGAAATGCAAAGATGGCTTGCAGAAAGGAATCTTCAATCACACAACACATTAAAGTGTTACTAAACCCAGGACCCTGAATCAACTATATCTGGTCTCCCACAGTACACACAACATGGAAATGCAATTATTTTAGTAAATATAACCTTTTCTCATCAGAAGTTACAGCAATCTTGTGACTTCTATCAGTGTCCAGCCCAGCACTAGCTAAAGCTTGTAGGAGGAGTTTTCTTTCTACTCTAGGAGGATACAAATCCCCTGACCTCTGTGTGGACAGTGCTGATCACATGCACTCTCCCAAGAAAAAAAAAACCTCTCTAGCAATACACACCAAACTGAGCATGTGCATGGCTTCAGTTCAGTCTGGAGGTAAGTGGTGGTCGCTTGAAAAGTGGAGGAACAGAGAAGAAAGGATCAAACAGCCTTTTTACACAATACAAAGGATTAACCCCTTAGGTTCCACAGAGTATAACAAGCATACGTTACTGCATATGCAGGCTGATTTTACTGTTGTGGGTTTAGTAACACTTTAATCTTAAAGACAATGGGCTAGCGCGCTAGGTTCCACCCATGACAGCTAAGAAAAAAAAAAGGCTATAGTTGGCATGGGATCACCAAAAGTTCTAACTGAACCTTAGAAAAAACCTTGTATGACAAAAGTATATTGCTGCTGTAATGCCCTCTAGGTTAGATAGGTTTGTTGTTTTTTTTAGACAGAGTAGCAGCCTGGGATGAGTCAGCCTGGGAGTGAGGCAGGAGTTCACCTCAGGACGGGCTGGGGGGTTCTACAGGTCAGGGTTTCTGGAGCCCTCCCAGCTTTCCAGAAACTGGAGAACTTTCTGGAAGAGGGGTGAAGGAGGGGAGGATACCCAGATCTGCATGTTTGAGGGACCCTGCCCTTTCCCCTAGCAGAAGGCTGGGCATAGTGACCAGGGCAACTGTCAAATATGAGCCTGGGGAGCAAGGGGAGTTGGGTGGAAGATGGACTGTGAGGAAGGCTGGAGTGTGGAGCCTGAGAGGGGGCCCCAGGGAGGGGAGCATACCTACAGGCTGGTTGCTGGACAGGAGGATCTCCACTGCCTAAAGTCTCCTAGGGAGGACTTCCTGAGCAGCAGGGAAGGAGCCAGCCTAGCGAAAGGAATGGAACCAGCTACTAATCCACCACGCTGACAGGACAATGTGAGTACTCCTACAACCCTTGGGCCAGATAAGGGGGAGGGTGGTCAGGTGCCATACCCACATCTGCGACTGTTTAACTGTAAGCTTCTGGGACTTCTTGCTCAGGGATACCCTCAGCACAGCTGGCTGGAGAGGAGGATTCATCTGGGGTCTGAGGAGGTATACCAAAACAAGGGACTACAGTGCTCTGTAAAAGGACAGTGCTCTATTTTTACTAGACAACATTTTTGTACATAGTTGCTAAGAAGTTCACCCTAAAGTTCTACAGTTCCTTGGGCATCCCATATATCCCTAAACCCCGTCCAAATTGTTAACCCCTTAATAAACTAAAAAAAACAGCTCAAGTGATGCTTACTGACTTTGAAGGTACAAGTGTGGAAAATGCATGTTGCCTAGCTGTGCAGAGCATAGGGGGACCCAAAGTAAATCCAGCGGCCCTTAAGAGGGTAGTGCTACACTGCTGTGACATGGTAGGGTAATCATTTGGTGCTCGCAACCTGAATTCAGGGATCCAGCATACAGTAAATACATAGATAGGTATTCCTAAGAAAATCACCTGAGTGTATGTGCCTTTCTGTGGTGGGCCCGAACCTTAGCATCTTATGAAATTGAGACCCGAGAGCTTCCATTTATAAGATTAGGATAAGCACATGTCCATCTACCCAAAAACATTATATGGGTGTACCTAGTAAAGTGGCTAATAAACATATGTGGCTAAGGTGAGCCTAAAGCAGGTCACAGATTATTTTTTTTTTCTTCCTTGCAACCATGGGTTGCAGGAAAGAAAATTGCTTGATTCCCCCATCAACACAGTAAGTGTTAGGGGGGGAATCCCTGCCCTGAGTTATTGTGGTCCCTGCCAGGGGAACACACTGATTACTGCTAGCGGCTATAGCCACAGGCAGTAATCAAATGCTAAAAATCTGATATGCTGGTTGTACCCCAGTTGATCGATAGATCAACTGGGGTACAATCAGGGGCAGACTGACAACTCATAGGGCCCCCGGGCAATAGGGGATCATGGGGCTCCTGTGTCCTTGCCCAAACTCAAAAAAACCTATGAAAAAGGTACCAGGGGCATCTCATGGGGCCCCCTACTGACCCCGGGCCCTCGGGCAGTGCCCAAGTTTCCAAATGGTCAGTCCGCCCCTGGGTACAATCAGCCTGCTCATAGATGGTTTGAATCTAAGCCAGTCCCTCCGGAACTGGCAGAGATTCGATCCATCTACGACCAACTAAAGACTTAGGATTTTACTGCAGTTGATATCAGAGGTCTTCTGGTTATAAAATCCATAGAAGATCACATCCATCTATCTAAACACTACATAGGTATACCTAACACAGTGGCTCCTGAGTGTATATGCCTGTCTATTGTAAACCTGAACCTGACAATGTTACTGAAATGGAGATCAAAGATCTTCTATTGATAAGTTCCAGACAAGTACTGTACATGTCTATCTAAACAAAAGTTAAAGTGTTACTAAACTCCTGCATTCACTCTATCTGGTCTCCCACAGTACACAGAACATGGAAACGCAATTATTTCAGTAAATATAACCTGCTAAATACCTTTTCTCATCAGCAGTTAAAACAGTCTTGTGACTTCTATTAGTGTTCAGCAGAGCACTGTTTAAAGTTTGTAGGAGGAGTTTTCTTTCTGCTCTAGGAGGATGCAAAACCCCTGACCTCTGTCTGAACAGTGCTGATTGGCCTTGTGCTGATAACATACACTCTCCCAAGAAAAAAAAACCTCTCTAGCAATAGACACTAAATTGAGCATGTACAGAATGGCTACGGTTCAGTCTGTCTTATCAGGAGATAAGACATGGACATTTGAACAAGAGGAGGAACAGAGAAGACAGGATCAAACAGCCATTTTACAGAATGCAGTGGATTAACCCCTTAGGTTGCACAGTGAGTATAACAAGCATGCTTTACTGCATATACAAACTGATTTTACTGTTATGAGTTTAGTAACACTTTAAAGTGGTTCTTAAGGCAAAGCATTTGGTCCTAGTCCTATATCAATCCAGCTCTGTACCAGTATGCAGCGTCACTCTCCTTTCTCCTCTTTCTCACAGGCAGCAGTGGGAGCCATTGGCTCCTGCTGCTGTCAATCAAATTCTGTAAGCGAGAGCGGGTGTTGGGGCCGAGCAATGCTGTGTGTCTATAGACACACAGAGCAGGGCTCAGGAGCGAGTGCACAGGTGTGCCACCTTAGGAAGAGGATTTCTATAACAGTGCACAGAGGAGAGGAGGAGACGAGAATGCCAGTGGAGGACCCCAAAAGAGGAGGTTCAGGACTGCTCTATGCAATACCATTGCACAGAGCAAGTAAATATAATATGTTTTTTATTTTAATAGAAGAAAAAATAAGCCTTTACTTTAAATAGGTGTACCGTAAGTAGTGGACAGTGAGTGTATGTGTCTATCTATGGTAAGACTGGGATTTTAATTAAATCGAGACCAGATGTCACGTACCTTGGATGAAGGCCAAACTGACGAGAGGACTTCCCTTGCGGCTCTGGTCCGAGCACCCCTGATGGTGGTGACAGAAGGCTCAGAGAAGAATGGGTGCCAAGCAGGTAACTGCCGGGGTCAGAGACATAGTCAGGATGAGCCAGGGTCATACACAATGAGGCAGAAGCATGGTCAGGTAGCAAGCTGGGGTCAATACCAAAGAAGCAGGCAAAGTGAGGTCCAGTAGCAGACCGAGGTCAGAATCAGGGAAGCAGGCAGGGAATAGTCAGAGGGAAGCCAAGGTTGGTATCCAAAGCCACAGAGCAAGGTCAGGAACTAGCCAGGTCAGCAATGGGAGATCAGTCAGCATAAGAAGAAGAACAGGAACACAGATTCCAGAGGAGCTGAAGAACATCCAGCAATTAGCACACATCAATGTCTCTTTAAATAGACAGCTTGGCACCAATGCACTTGGACATGCACGCTGATGCGCTGGATATTAGCCCGAGCTCATTTGTGTGCTGATACATATGCATGAGCCAGGGGCGGACTGACCATTTGGAAACTCGGCTACTGCCTGAGGGCCCGGGGTCAGTAGGGGGCCCCATGAGATGCCCCTGGTACCTTTTTCATAGGATTATGAGTTTGGGCAAGGACACAGGGGCCCCATGATCCCCTATTGCCCGGGGGCCCCATGAGTTGTCAGTGAGCCCCTGGCATGAGCATTAGCTGCACGGGAATGAGCATTAGCTGCACGGGAATCAGCATTAGCTGTAGTATTAGCATTAACATTAGCTGTGTTAGCATTAGTCCTCTGACACCAGAGGTCTTTCAGTTATAAGATCCAGAGAAGAACACACCTTTCTACCCAAACACTAGAAAGGAGTACCTAATAGCATAGCCATTGAGTGTACGTATGTGCCCTTCTATAATAGTTTTGAGCCTTAGGATCTTACTGAGATAGAGATCATTGATCTTCACATGATAAGATCCAGACAGGTACATGTCCATCTACCTTAACTAAATCACATTGTGCAATAGGTCTTCTGCTAGTAACAGCGTTTGGAAATGAAATATTTTACTGCAACCAAATATGAACATCAAAACAACTTGTATAATAAGGGACTGATTCATCTTTAAATCAGTACCAATAAATCACAAGAGAGATAAAATGTGCATAAGTAACATGCCATGCTCATGTTTATAATTTTTGCTGCAGTGTTAGTTTTTCCAAGTAGCAAAATGATAACTATTATTTTTCACTATAAGTAACAGCACTCTAAATTATCTGTAAAAAATTTTATTTCACAGGCACAATTGTTCCAGACTAAAATGATATTGTTAAAGCCAATTCCATCTCAAAGAGAAATAAATTATACAGTTGTGGCCAAAATTATTCAACCCCCACTGAAATTGAGTGTTTTGGCCAGTTTGACATTGCTTTTGATCATTCAGTCATCTTGCTTACATTTACATTAAAGAGGCACTTGTAGGTCAGACAAATATAACATAACAGTTATAATGAAATAACCACAAATGTCTTTTCTGTGCTCACAGCATTATCAGTTTTATTCAACCCCCAAGTGACATTCAATCTTAGTACTTAGTACAGCATCCTTTTACAGTTATAACAGCTTTTAAACGTGAAGCATAGCTTGACACAAGTGTCTTGCAGCGATCTACGGGTATCTTCGCCCATTCTTCATGGGCAAAGGCCTCCAGTTCAGTCACATTCTTAGGCTTGCGCACTGCAACTGCTTTCTTTAAGTCCCACCAGAGGTTCTCAATCGGATTTAAGTCTGGTGACTGCGATGGCCACTCCAAAATGTTCCAGCCTTTCCTCTGCAACCATGCTCTAGTGGACTTGGAGGTATGCTTGGGATCATTGTCCTGTTGAAAGGTCCAACGTCTCCCAAGCCTCAGGTGTGTGACGGACTGCATCACGTTTCCATCCAATATCTCCTGGTACTGAAGAGAATTCATGGTACCTTGCACACGCTGAAGCTTCCCTGTACCTGCAGAAGCAAAACAGCCCCAAAGCATGATTGACCCTCCACCATGCTTCACAGTAGGCAAGGTGTTCTTTTCATCATAGGCCTTGTTCTTCCTCCTCCAAACATAGCGTTGATCCATGGGCCCAAACAGTTCTAATTTTGTTTCATCAGTCCACAGAACACTATCCCACAACTTTTGTGGTTTGTCCACATGGCTTTTGGCATACTGCAGTCGACTCTTCTTATTCTTTGGAGACAGCAAGGGGGTACGCCTGGGAGTTCTGGCACGGAGGCCTTCATTACGCAGTGTGCGTCTTATTGTCTGGGCTGAAACTTCTGTACCCACATCTGACAAATCTTTTCTCAGTTCCTCAGCAGTCACACGGGGACTTCTCTCCACTCTACGCTTCAGGTAGCGCACAGCAGTCAAAGTCAGCATCTTCTTTCTGCCACGACCAGGTAGCGTTTCAACAGTGCCCTTTGCCTTGAATTTGCGAATGATGCTTCCTAAGGTGTCTCTTGGTATGTTTAACATCTTTGCAATCTTCTTATAGCCATTGCCCTTCCTGTGAAGAGAAATCACCTCTTCTCTTGTCTTCCTGGACCATTCTCTTGCCTTCACCATGTTTGTAACCACACCAGTAAATGTCTAGAAGGAGCTGAGTATCACAGTCATTTTAAAGCTGCCTAATTGGTGCTTATTATGCTTGATTGCTGCTCGGTGACATCCACAGGTGTTTTCAATACCTGATGGAAAGCACCTGTATGAACCTCTGTTCTTCAGAGTGGTAGTCTTTAAGGGGTTGAATAATTGTGGCAATGAAGAAACCACATAAGAACCATTTACTACTGTATTACATAAACAATTGATGTCATTTTAGTTGCATTTGGGTAGTTACAACGTCCTTGTAGGATTTGATTCTGAATACAATTCCAAATGTACACTATAGTCCCTAAACCCCTTTACAGCATTGGGGGTTGAATAATTTTGGCCACAACTGTATATAGTTTTAAATTGGTTAATCTGTGGTGCATAGCAAAAGCCTTTCAACCTCTTGGAATCAATTTTAGCAGTATGCATATGAGGCATAAATTGTGATTTGTATCAGGGCCACAGAGTTCTTGATCCATAACACGGTTTACCTGAGATGGATAAGTAAAAAAACCTGATTACAAAAATACATGAGGCTGAAAGCACAAGAAGGTATCATTTATTTTTAGTGCCATATAGAAAAAGAACACATTTTTGTACACATCAATATTTCAAATGTATTTTTGAACCTCATCCCTCACAGTTAAGGCTTAGGAGAATAAATTGGAGGCTGGTGTCGTTATTTTACTAATTGTATAATTTAGCTTTAGGTAAAGCATTTAAATCAAAGCAAGAAATGATTGAATTTTGGAGACCACAGATATTTGCTTTCTGTAAATTAACACATGCAAAATTATATAATAAGGCAACCTATATTGTACAAAATATGATGATATCTGTTTGCTTAACATATACTGAATTACAACACTTTGCATCTTATCATTGCTATTTGCATTCTCCTAAAGTGACCCTGTCGCTATACCAAAAATTTCAACCCCATCATACAGGTAAAAAAAGGCAAGACATGACACATATTTTGTTGCCCACGCCGCTGAAATCCTCACCAATGCTGAGAAATCTCCTGCTGAGGTTCACACAGAAACTGACACATCCACAAGTGTTGATCTCTACGAACCCACAACTCATTCTTACTCTTCCCTCTGGCATCCATGTCATTACTATATCCTGTAATGGGTTGAGGTCAAAGGAAGGAACCAGTGTGAGCTGCAGTGGACCAGAGAGGTCAACACTCCCAAATTCACTGTGGACCTTTGCAGAAGATTTCTCAACAACAAAGGAGTTTGGCACTGTGGACAGCTGAAAAGGTGAGCATGTCTTGTCTTCTTTCCCAGGCATGGAGGACCTACAAGGAAAGGTTTACTGAGCTAATTTATTCTCCCCTGAGAAGAGATGATAAAGGGGGATATGGTAACCTTGTTTGAATACATAAATAGTCTAGCGGTATTAACCCCAAAGGTTTCCAATTCTTAGATGTAGTTTTTTGCATTATTCTTTTTTTTCTCCTGGTGATTCAGCCAGTAAGTCTGTCATTTTTCAACTTCCTTTTAACAGACCAAGCATTCCATCAAAAGTGACAGTAAGAGGACTGAGGCAAATCTAACACCAACAGGAGTGCTTACAGTTCATGTATGTAAAATCTTTATACAAAAAGAAAAAAAACTGTTGCTATAACTGACAATGCTGTTGTCCAGTGGAGTTGAGACACCCTAAGACAGAAAGTTCATTACTGACTGGATCAACAGGATGAAATAAAGGAAACAAAGCCTAACAAAAGAAAAACAAAATGCAGCCTCTACAAGTAAAAAAAATGGTAAGGTGCAATATATTACATTTTTGTTTTGGGGTTTGATACCACTTTATGCAAATTACATAAAAAAGGGGTCCTCTTTGCACCTGGTGGAAAAGAGACTTAACTTCTATATACATAAATGCTTCTTTACACTAAGAGCAATTAAAATAGGGAATATACT